ACTTGCCATCCTATTGGATCCACACCTTTGCGTTCTCTCATAAAATCACCTATTAAATCAACTACATGGGAGCCTGGAAGAGGTCGGTCTTCAAAAACCAGCTGCCCACGACTATCCCATTTCATGATTTCTGGGTTTTCCCTTATTTTTTCAATGAGCAGCTTGCCACGATTTTTGAGAGACTTGGGTAAGGCACTGATTATGTCGCGCTCAATTTTATCCTGTAMTTCCGGTCTTGAAGTTTCTGGCATTGCTGTTTTCTCCTCTCCCTCCTGTGGYTCCTTTCGATGATCTGGACTAGTTTCGAATTTAATTTTCATGGGTTCATCTCTTCTCTGGTTGTAATAAGTGAGGTAGTTTTGAAGTGTTTGACTGTAGTGTTTGACTTTTTCTTCGTCTGATAACTCTTTGCTGTTCAAGACATCCTCCATGTCATGATCAAGCCTATTCAGCCTTGACGTCAGAGGTGCTGTTTGGATCTTTTCTCGCTGTCTCAACCTTTCCAAAGTCTGTTCAGGGACCAGAACCATCTTCCTGGTATTGTTCATTTTAGAAAATGTTCTATCACACTTAGGACTGGAGGTAGCAGGAGAGACAGGAAACTTCCTCCTTTCTGGACCAAGACCTTTCGCTTTTGTGTCAAAGGGACTTGATTATCCACTAATGCTAGCAAAGATTTTTTAAATTTATAGAGTTGTTTCTTCTGTCGTGGTGTGACGGGTACGGTGGACTTTAGAATATTATACACACATTCACAAACACTCTTGATGAGGTCGTCGTCAGCAACTTTGAGTAAGGCTTTAGTTTGATGAGGTTTGCTCGTAGACAACACCTTTAGATGATGGAAGTTGTTTCTCACTCGCCGACTCATGGTAAACTAAATTATCCAGTAGAAAGCACAATGCTTTATAGTTTTTTCACGTAAGCGTATTGTGTTTCATCGGGAAAGATGCTTGTTCGTAGTCGAAAGTCTTCCAAAGTCTCTGGTTTGAGGTCACAAAGCAGGTATCCGTGGGGCTTCGTTGTGGCGTCGTTAAAGGCTTCTTGCATGTACTTCACATGACCTGGAAACATTTGCTTAGCCAAGTGGTTGATTTGGCTGCTGTCTCTTGGGGACTTGAAGAGGACCATGTAATGAGCGTTGAGGCTAACATTCCTTAACTCTTTACCTTGATGAAAAATATTTTGCAAAATAAAAATACACGAGAGGTTTTTGTGATGGCATCCTTTGGTAAAAATATTCGTTAGGCGTTTGTCATTGCTYACTTCATTCATCAAATCGTCAATAATTACGAGATTTTGAATAGATGGGTCAATGTTCTCTTCCAAATCCTGAGGTAGTCCTTCCACAAATGAAATATTTGGTACGGTAACCATCATCTCGTCATATGCAGGTTGGTGCATGCCATAACACCATATAATATTCTGAGGAACCCCATCGAACATAACATCAGCATTTTCTAAGAGTCGTTTAACGAACTGAGTTTTTCCACAACAAGAGGGTCCAGCGACAATGGCTCCAAAAGGGTGCTTTAGTCTCGTGTTCATTTCAACAGTAAATGGACCAAAAATCATTTGTCGACTGATTTATATAACTTTTTCTCCGATGGAATAAGCCAATCGCAATTTTTTCTGGTATATTTTCGAACAACTTTAAACTGTTGAAGTTTC